TTCTTTTTCAATTCTTTTATTTTTCCTAATTTAAGATATCAAGCCTAAAAATACTTTATCCAACTAAAAATGATAAATTCGATATTTCAAAAGTAAATTAGTTAATAATGTTGCTTTCTTAATTAAGCTTATTAAATTATTATCAATAATTGAATTCAAAGGCATAGCCATAATATCTATTTCTTTTTTTAATATTTTATCGACGTGAAATCCATAAAATAATATGATTACATAAAATGTCAAAGGGAATATTGTATGATAAATATTTGAGAGATAAGAAATTATGAAATTGGAGGTAAGAAAAGAACGAAATTCTTGATTATTCATTGGTGATCATATAGTTGATGCATAAATATTTATTGAACGTCTGAAATGGAACTTCAATTCAATTTATTAGAATACTCATTTATAGTAGATTTACATTGAAAAAATCTGTTGGTAATTTCTTTAGCATGCTAAAAACTGTATGTGAATACTTTTTATATGAAAATAAAAAATTATTAATAAAATGGGAACAGATTAATTATCTAGAATTACATTAATAAAGCTAAGAAATTTAAATCAGTTATTTCGGTTCCTTTGCTTTGAGAATTTGTGTTAGAAAATATATTAATAAAAATTAATTTCCTTTAGAAGTGAACAAAATGGTTCCATTGATGTAACAGAAGCAAATTTGATTAGCACTAAATTAAGAAAATCAACTTTGATTATTTTAAAATTAGAATTTTTTATATTTTAATATATATATGATAGCATAAAAAATTAAGGAAGCTTGTGAAGATGGAAGAAAGATCATCTCGATAGAACTAATCTAAATATAGGATGTATGAAAATACACATTCATTAATATAACCTTTCACAGCTACTTATCTTAATTTCGTAATTTAACTATTTTAGTTATTTATTATAAATATAATTATATTTCACATTATGGACTCTGAAACCATATTTCTCCTCAATTTAGTGAAACCTTTGAGGGACCCACTTTGCACAAACATAATAAGTGGTAACAGCAACATCGACTTTTCTCAAGCTCATCTATCAATTAGCCAATAAATGAAAAACAAAAAAGGACCTAGAAGGCCACCTTAGTGGATTCCATCAAGAATATATTTATAACATTTCTATTTAAGATCATAAATGTAGAGTTAATAAAAATTAAAAACAAAATTGCAATTGTCGCGAAAAGATACAATTCTGAATCAAATAGTAGAAGCCCTCCATTCGGGTCACCATTAATCAACATCATCCCAATAAGAATCTATGAGGATTTCTTGACCGCAGAATACTTGATGAGGACATTTAATGAAAAGGGTAATATGGAGGACCTAAATTAAAAATATTATTAGGAGGTGGACCTACACCAAAACAAGGGGAAACTGAGAGCAACTTATATTTAGGAGAGTGATGTGGATATCAATTGAAATGGGCCAAATTCTCAATGTTAGGTGCCCCACTCAACAATTGTACTCTAATTTTGCTGATAGTAATAAAATACTGGGCACAGTGTTCAACTATTTACCTTACACTACAAAATAAATTATAAATTACATTAGTAAATCAAATCCATTAATTGATTTAATTGAGAATCATCCTTCGATTTCAAAAGAGAAATCTTTGGATTGAAAAAGCAAAATTGTAATTCTAGTAATATTGTCCAATTAGTGATAAGGCTAGATTGCTTTATGAAAGTGCAAAATTAATAAATATATTCAATGATGACAAGAATATGATATTGTGGAATACAATTTAACAATATTTAAATAGACATTTACAAATACTATTTTCCCTTAGTAATCAAAGTATGCAACAATTACAACTAAAAAATAAATTACTCCTACAACAATAATAGATAGAATATTAGCTCATCTTTATTGTACTATATTGAATTTAATGAAAATTTTGATAACATTTCCATCATATGGTAAACTGACTTTAATAAATGATTACACTAGAAAAGAATTAGAAAACAAATAATTTATTTAATATCTAACAACAAAAGACTAAAAACTTTATCAATGTCCTAATAATCCTAATCATATTTTAACTACTTTATTATTGAGATAGCAATATTTGAACCCTTACTATGGTAAATTGGATATAACTCATAAGAATTTAAATCATTTTTTTGGCTATAGATCAGATATTTTTTAATGTAAATCATCTAATTACTAAGTATTACCTGAACTTGCAGAGATGAAACAAACTGGAACCTTTTTTTCAAATGATGCTTCAATTGTTAGTAGATTATAAGCATTAAAAGACAATTTTAATAAATTTCGAATAAGAGGAGCCTATTTACATAGCTATTATGCTGGTGAATTCAGACACAAGGATTTTTTTTGGGCAGAAGAATAATTGTCTCGTTTAATAAATGAATATGACGAATTTGGAACTTTGAATAATTCACAAATTGAGACCTTAAGCAATGATGAGTAGTGAGATTCATTATTACTTCTATGGAAGTTTATATTATTTAATTAAAGATGAAAAAAATTAATTTCTTTTTCAATTCTTTTATTTTTCCTAATTTAAGATATCAAGCCTAAAAATACTTTATCCAACTAAAAATGATAAATTCGATATTTCAAAAGTAAATTAGTTAATAATGTTGCTTTCTTAATTAAGCTTATTAAATTATTATCAATAATTGAATTCAAAGGCATAGCCATAATATCTATTTCTTTTTTTAATATTTTATCGACGTGAAATCCATAAATTAATATGATTACATAAAATGTCAAAGGGAATATTGAATGATAAATATTTGAGAGATAAGAAATTATGAAATTGGAGGTAAGAAAAAGAACGATATTCTTGATTATTCATTGATGATCATATAGTTGATGCATAAATATTTAATAAACTTCTGAAATGGAACTTCAATTCAATTTATTAGAATAATCATTTATAGTTAGTAAGTTTTGGGAAATTTATGTTAAATGGCTTGGAATTGAAAATTTATCAAAGATTTGAAATAATCTAGTTGAGTGAGTGGATGAAGATTTAGAAGTTTTCTAATTATCTTATGGAGCGCAATAAAGTGTTTTGATATAATTTTTTAAGACTACAATAATCAATTATCCTTAAACCCTGTTGTTTTGAACTCTTGTATTTGACAGTTCATTTCATATAAATGGAACACAAATTAATTTTAGGGAGTCAAAATATTCTGAAGTATCCAAATTTTTCACAGTAAGATCAATAACTCTCTTTTGTATTTTAAAAAATTTTGACATATTCTGATCTATATTTAATTCAGTAATATTATCATATTAAATCTTGGATATAAAAACTAAAGCTCTGACTTTTTTATAAATTACTATCAATATATATAATGTTCAATTCTTTCTATAATTATATAATGATTGTATTTTAAAAATAGCTAATTCAATATTTATGTTTTAGTGAATTACAGTATCAATTCTGTTTCCTTCTTCCATCACTTTATATCAGTAGTACCAGTTTTTATTTAATTGTTATCTGAATTCAATTCTTTTTCGATTATTTGACATTAAAATTCTACACCGCTTATAAGAATTGCACATGAAAGATTGAGTTGAATATGTAATTTTTTTC